GATTTGAATCGCAGGCCACCTGCGGCTTTGGACTCATCAGCATGAAATGACCTTGAAGAGGCTCGAAAGCACGGACCAGTAGAATGCACCCTGATCTGGACATTTCAGACCTTGGAAGTACCAGTAAGACTCAAGGCTGACAAGGAAAAAACAGTCTGTCTGAATAAATCAACTATTGTGGATTATCTGACTCCATGGTTGGCCTCGAACAGGCCGACTTATCAATTTCTCCTGGGAAATGTGTAAACTAAGGAAAAGCTTCATCTATCGCCCACATTGTTGTGTAGTTGGCTTCTTTACTGAGCTCGGTTCTGTTTGGTTATGGCTTGTTTCTTTTGTAATTTAATAGTTCCTATGCTCTTGAATGCACCGTGGCTCTTCCAGCACTAGTGAACGCACCGCTCTGTGTAAAGTGCAGAGCTCAGTTGGATTTTTTTTTCTCTCTTGACATGGCCTTGCTCTTCAAGCTTGTTTGTGCTTTACTGGTTTACAGCTGTGTCTAAATACCAGAAGAAACACAGCAAATAAATCACCCTAAACTGGATATTTGTCTCCATGTTTTTAATGAGAAGACAAATTCATACCTTGTCACTCTAAAACAGTTAATTTCCTAGAGAACACCAAACCTCTGCCATACCTAAATTTCCCAAAACTCCTGGAAATGTATACCCAAATTAAATCAGCTGCTGTTCTTGAACCCTTTGGAGTACATACAAAAGCTTGGTCTCTTTATGAAGATGTCAAGCTAAATGTTTTATTTCTTCAGTCAAAAATGCTTTAGCTGTGATTATTATGTAGCTATTAAGTTTGTAACACAAAACAAATTTAGAAAAAATTATCCTCACCTGAATTTTTATTTCAATAAATACACATTGAAAGTTGAATGTATGGACTGGAAAATGCAAGAAAACTGTAAAATGAAGTGATTTTGTTGTGTACTTAAAATATGATCAAAATAGCACAAAAGTGACTATTTTAGTCATGTTTATGTGAGTGGTTGTACAGGCGTTGTCCAGATGTGCCATTTGGAGACTCCAAATGGCACATCTGGACAATGCCTGATATACAAAATTCAAATGAATGTAACTCCTCAGTGCTTCAACATACAGTCATCAATGAGGGCTCTAATGAAAGATAATAACCATACCATACCACTTTATTTATAAAGCATTTAAAACAGCTACAAGGCCAACCAAAGTGCTGTACAGACAGAACAACAGGTAACACACAAAGCAAAATACAAAATGAGGTCAATCAGAATATAGACATAAAAACAATGCAGATAATGACGACAGACCAGTGTGGAGCATACAGGATCAAAACACAGATCATCTGGTGTTGAAAGCCACTGAATAGTAGTGAGTTTTTAAACGGGACTTGAAAACTGAGAGGGAGGGGGCCTGTCTGACAAGCAGAGGTAACTCGTTCCAGAGTCTTGGTCCTGCTACAGAGAAGGCCCTGTCACCTCTGCGCTTAAGACGAGTTCCTGGAACTGTGAGGAGCAACTGGTCCGCTGACCTCAGGGAGCGTGGTGGGACATACGGTTGTAGCAGATCAGAGAGATTGGGGGCGGGGGGGGGAGACACTGTTCAGTGATTTGTAGACATACATGAGTATTTTGAACTGGATTCGAAAGTGAACCAGTAACCAGTGCAGTGAGGCCAAAACTGGTGTAATGTGCTCTCTTTTGCCTGTACTGGTTAAAAATGGGGCTGCTGCATTCTGGACCAGTTGTAGTCGTGCAATGGAGGCCTGACTGATACCAAACAGGAGTGAATTGCAGTAATCAAGCCTAGATGTAATGAATGCATGTATTACTGTCTCCAGGTTCTTTTTGAACAATATGGGCTTCAGTTTAGACAGCCGCCTCAGTTGGAAGAAGCATGATTTAACATTCATGTTTACATGATTGTTAAGTTTCAGGGAAGGGTCCATCATCACGCCCAGATTAGTGACTCTTTGTTTTTCTGACAGGGTTAGAGCGGAGAGGTCGATGCAGTGGTTTGTGATCGTGTCGTTGGGAGGGAACAACATGACTTCAGACTTCTTTTCATTGAAACTTAAGAAGTTTAAAGCCATCCAGTCCCTGATGTCAGCCAGGCAGTCGAGCAGCGGTTGAATAGAGCATGTACCATTGTGTCTTAGGGGGAAGTAAATTTGACAGTCATCGGCATAGAATGGAAGGGCATGTTGTGTTTCCGGAAAATAGCACCAAGCGGCAGCAGGTATAGAGAGAATAGGAGGGGACCCAGGATGGACCCCTGCGGAACCCCCCATTTAAGCTCTGCCTCTGCGGAACTAAAATCCTTGATGGAGACACAAAAGGATCTGTCAGTGAGGTAAGATCTGAACCAATTGAGGGCTGATCCTGTGACGCCCACCCACTGCTCCAACCTAGCAATGAGGATCTCATGGTCGATGGTGTCAAAGGTGGCTGTGAGGTCCAACAGGACAAGCAGCACAGAATCACCGGTATCTGTGAATCTGAAGATGTCGTTAAAGACCTTCAGCAGGGCAGTTTCAGTGCTGTGGAGAGGTTTAAAGCCAGATTGGAAAAGCTCTAAGATGGCGTGATCCTCCAGGAAGCACTTCAACTGGGACTCGACTATTTTCTCCAGTACTTTAGAAACAAATGGGAGTCTGGAGACAGGCCGGAAGTTGGAAACGACTGAGGGGTCAAGGTTTGGATTTTTCAGGAGAGGCTGGACAGCAGCATGTTTAAAGGTTTTTGGCACCACACCAGTGGATAAACTACTGTTTACTATGACAAGAATGGACGGACCTAGAGTTGGAAACACCTCCTTTAGTAGTCGAGGGGGGACCACATCAAAGGTGGAACCAGAAGGTTTCAAGCTGCACATGACCTGCTCTAGAGAAGATGGAGTGATGGGTTCAAAATGGTCAAAAGGAGCTACAGATTGAGGTGGGATGGATGGGTCATGAGTTGGAGGGGAAATGAGAGCACGGGTGGTCGCAATTTTTTCCAAAAAGAAATGTAGGAAGTTGTTACACAGCTCAGTCGAGGCTTCCAGAGGTGATGGTTCAGTGAGGTGGAGAACAGAGTTTAGGGTGGAGAAGAGGACATGTGGGTTGTGAGAGTTTGAGGTAATTATATCAGAGAAGTATTTGGATTTAGCAGCTTTTACTGTTTTCTGATAACAGTACCAACTCTCTTTAAGTATCTGGAAAGAGACCTGCAGCCTGTCTTTCCTCCACTTTAGCTCCGCCCTCCAACAACCAGAGGAATCCTCTGGTATACACAAATTTACTGATACTGTGAATGAATTATAATTATATACATATAAACACAATAAAATTGTAATTACACAAATGCGTATTGTAAAAAGCAAGAAAAATGACTTTATAATTTGTTATTATTTGCAGAGTATAAAAAGCAACACACACTACACAGCAAACTGCAACTATTTACAATTATTTCTGCTCAACCCCACCCCCTCGAATTGTCAATGTGCCACTTATTGTAGCAGCATAATGATGAGAATGAAACATTACACTTACGCCTCCTTGTGGGATTCTGCGTCCAAAACCAGTCGAATCAGTCACAAAGTCCTCAGAAGTATAATAATCCACTCTCGTGAGTCATTTTGAAGCTCCGTTGAAGAAATATATCCTGTTTTGACACGTTATGAAAATCCGTTGGTGACAAAAAGTACTGTAAACTTTTTTGCGCACAAGGCGCACAGACTCTAGCTTGCTGCCAAATTTTACGCAACGATGAAACACTGACTACGCAGGGAGCTCGTGGATTCCTGACAAAACAAACCCCAAGGTGCCATATGTTCCTGTGTCAGAAAGTTTGTTGGCTACACATCTATGGTTTTAGATTTAGTGTGAGGGTTGACCAAACAGAAATATTCGAGAAAGATTAGGCGGAAGTGTCAATTAGCTACGTGACGTTCTCTGGATACTATTGGCTCAGGAAAACCCATTTCAAGACAGGACTGGTCGAATGTGGTGTCAATCAAAATGGGAGGGTCTAGGCTGCCATATAAAAACGTTGTAATGGTAGAGAGTGGGATTTTTGAAACGCTATGAGGCTGTGAACCCGGAAGAAATAGCAGTGTCCCACGGGCGGGACACTGCTAGATAACAGGTTTTAACACCTATCAGGAATTTACGGTGCTCCTCAACTGTGGGTCAACAAAGATATCTGCATGATGTCTTCAGTGGCAACAAGCGGCGGGGGAGGAGTGGGTTTATACGCTGAGGGAAACCAGGAGGGGTGGCATGAAGGTGCAGACTGGGAGGAAAAACTGACGGATTTATAAATAACTAGGCAGAGTGTAAGACTATAATGTTTTATATCGATATAGTCTCATTTTATATTGCAAATTAAATTAGATGGATATTTTAAAAACATCGATATATTGCCCAGCCCTAGTAGAGACTAATCAGAGCTTTAGATCACATTCATACACCGATAGGACACAAATCAGAGACAATGAGGGGTTCAGCGTCTTGCTCAGGGACACTTCGGCATGTGACTGCTGGTGAAACCCCCAACTCTCCCACTGGTGGACGACTGCTCTAACCATTCAGCCACAGCCGCCCCAAATGAGAAAACAACCCAACAACAAAAAAATTGAAAACATTTCCATGTCTTGTTTAAGTTTTATTTCATGTTTGATCCAAAAAAGATATAAAATGTTACATTTATTTTTTATTGTTTTAATCTCCATTTTTATTCGGTTTAATTTATTTCATGGGTGTTATGAAGACTGGACCAGGAATTGGGTGCTGTCAGAACTTTACCATATTATTGTTAGGTCTCCATGGTAACACACATGTAAACACTGACTCTTACTGTAAAATAGAGTGGCTCAGAGAGGACAGCCCAGAACATTTGGCACCAAGAGCCAATACAACCTGCATGACTTGTAACTGATCTCAGAGGATGATTGACAGCTGCCACTCAGACAGAAATGTACACGTTTAGAAACACATGATTAACTTGTATTCAGTGTGCCATTTCAGATTAGATGTCTTCCAAGCTTCAGGTGTGGGTAAAGGACTTCTGACCTTCGTGAAAAAAGATCTAGATCTTCTCAACATAATTTCCAGGAAACATCCCTTCTTTACCTCGCAGCCTCCCGAACCACCAACCAGACGAATCTGAAAACACACAAAGATTATCCAAGAGTTATGGATTTCCATACTACTGTATGAGATTCTTTATTAATAAAACTGTTTCAATTAGAGAAAAATTTCAAACCAACATTCCTACTATCGCCTCTGGTTCTGTGTCAGATGAGACAACTTTATAAATGTCACTAGAACCTGACTTATGTTTGGACTGTTTTGTCCTGTTGAGCTCTGAATTGTCAAAAATAATAACTTCATCCAAACCATCCACATGTCTGCTAGATCCCATCCCAACCAGACTGTTTAAAGAGGTATTTCCCTTAATTTATAACCAAGTCTTAGATCTGATTAAATTGTCTCAATGGTCATGTACCACAGAGCTTTAAGGTTGCTGTAATTAAACCTTTACTTAAGAAACATAATCTTGACTCAGGAATCCTAGCCAACTATAGACCTATATCTAATCTAACTTTCATCTCAAAAATTCTAGAGAAACTAGTTGCAGGTCAGTTGTGTGAACATCTACAAAGAAATAATCTGTTTGAAGAGTTTCAGTCAGGGTTTAGAGCTCATCATAGCACAGAAACAGCACTAGTAAACGTAACTAATGATATTCTCATGGCCTCAGACAATGGACTTACCATACCATACCATACCATACCATACCATACCATACCATACCATACCAATTTATTTATAAAGCACTTTAAACAGTGACATAGCACACCAAAGTGCTGTACAGGGACAAACAGAACAAGAACATAGCAACAGATTACATAACAGGACACCAAAAAGTAGAAACCAACAGAAACAGTAATGGATAACAACAACCGCAACATGACCAACACAGTGTGATGCACACAGACTCAGCACAGATCACACAGTGCAGAAAGCCAGGGAATAGAAGTGTGTTTTTAAGCGAGATTTAAAAACTGTGAGGGAGGGGGCCTGTCTAACCAGCAGAGGTAACTCATTCCAAAGTCTTGGTCCTGCTACAGAGAAGGCCCTGTCACCTCTGCGCTTGAGAAGGGTTCCTGGGACTGTTAGGAGCAACTGGTCTGCTGATCTGAGAGAACGTGGTGGGACATACGGCTGGAGCAGATCAGTAAGATAGGAGGGGGCAGAGCTGTTTAGTGATTTATAGACATACAAGAGTATTTTGAATTTGATTCCAAGGTGAACCGGAAGCCAGTGTAGGGAGGCCAAAACAGGAGTAATGTGCTCTCTTTTGCTTGTGCTGGTCAAAAACCGGGCTGCTGCATTTTGGACCAGTTGGAGTCTAGCTATGGAGGTCTGACTGATACCAAAAAGGAGTGAGTTGCAATAGTCGAGCCTGGATGTAATGAATGCATGAATTACTGTCTCC